GAAGAATAAAAACACAAATAAGGAGGGATAAAATAATTACTTTTGAACCTTATTTTTTAAAAGAAAAACAAACACAAACCCAAAAGTAAAACACCCACAATGGGTTAATCCAAATTTACAGTTCAATATTTCTTCAAAAAAAAACAAAATTATAGACCAATTCTAAAGCCGGCAAACCCCAACTTAACCCTACGTTGCAGGCCTGTTCTGATGCTTGTGATGAGAAAAAAAAAGGAATACATGGTGGAAGATGATGTAAAAATCCTACAGAAACGCTCTGCTCTGTTCAGTCCTCGTCTCCAGTGGGAAAGAAAAAAATACTGGCGCTCACAGTCACAGCTCCAACCACATGCGTAATCCACAAACAGTCACAAACTTTGTCTCCAATGATGCCAGAGGTCGTCTGAGCGCTTCCTGGTGGCTCAGAGTGCTATCTGGGTCCAAACTCTCTTGTCTGGTTGAGTACCGGTCCTTTGCAAGATCCTACATCCAGCTGAATAAGCGAACGACGGGAGTCTATATCCCATTAGCAAGCTGCTAATGGTAAGCTAACGGCTAAATACAGTCCCACAAGCTTCGAGTAGAAGCTCTGCTGTCTTCTACCACGGACTTAACCAACTGTCACTTCTTGTGGGTTATCGTAGGGACAACCTAAGGCGACAATAACCGTCTAAGATCTTGAATAAGTTAACATCACCCTGGTGATGTGGACTTAAAGTCAGCGGAACCGGCGCTGATTTCTTTTTCCCTCTGCACTCTCTCAACACCTGTGATACCTTCAAAAACCTTCCTCTCTGTAGGAAATTACACTTCTCACATGAAACCTTTCTAAAATGAAATAAAACCATGTAAACAGATATTTTAAACACATTGTAAATAAATTTACAAAATGAACATTTTAAATAACTCCAGAAAAATGTATTTAACCATTTTTAAACAATTTATGTTAGGTGACCTCAGCTATTTATTAATATTAACTTAGACTTTTTTAAATGCATGGGTTAATTATACATCCGGGCTACATAGGTATGACCTAAACCACTGGAGAGCGGTGCCACAGATGCCGATGTGCTCTAGGCGAGATACAAGGACTGCATGGTGGACTGTCTCAAAGGCTGCTGAGAGGTCCAGCAGTACCAGCACAGCAGGATTCCCAGCCTCCACAGACAGGGCAATATCATTGTGCTCCTTTAACAGTGCTGACTCGGTGCTATGTCGGGGTCTAAAACCAGACTGAAATTTATCAAAAGTAGAATTGATCTCCAAAAATGGCTGTAATTGAATAAAAACAACTTTTTCTAAAACCTTAGAAAGAAAAGGCAAGTGGGAGACAGGTCTAAAATTGGAAATTACGGAGGGATCAAGATGCATTTTTTTTATGAAGGGTCTAACCATAGCATGTTTGAAGGCAGCTGGAACAGACCCTGAGCTAAGACAAGTCTTTATAAAAACAAGCAGACTTGGCCCAACAGAGCTCAGAACCTCCTTCAAAAACTTGGCTGGAATAATATCTAAGAGACAGTTTGTGGGTTTCATGCCACTAAAGACCTTAGTGAAAGAAAGCAAAGAAATGGTCTCAAACCGCTCGAATGCAGCAGTCTGCCGGAGGAGCACAGACATCATCAGAAGGCATATTACTCTTACAGATATTCTGCCTGACAGATTCCACTTTATCGGTGAAAAAGGACGCAAACTCCTCACAGGTTGCAGTGGAGGCATCAGACAGGACAGCAGGGCATGGATTAATGACAGAATCAATAGTATTAAATAGCAGTCCTGGATTATAAGAGCTATTATCTATTATGGAGGACAAATATTTTGACTTTGCTTCTTTTAGAGCTCTCTGGCAAGCAGCCAAGCTGTACCTTAATTAGTCCAGGGATACATGCAGTTTATCCTTTGTCCACCGCCGTTCAGCCTGTCTGCATTGTTGTCTGAGCAGACGGGTATGGTCATTCAGCCAGGGATCCGACTTAGTTTTGGTCGTTTTTTGCCAAAATGGGGCACAGAGTCAAGAATCGCAGAACATGTTGAATGGAACGTGGAGAGTAGGCTGTCTGGACAAAGTGGAGGAACCCGCCCACAGTCATCAGGCAGCTGAGAGTTTCTGAAGGCAGCAGCAAACTCCCCAGCCGTTGATGGAGTAAAGATTTGGCGTCTGGGAGCTGGGGAAACTGGCTTATTGGCAGGTGGGGGAGCAGCAAAGTCGAAAACAACAGGGAGGTGATCTGAGATAGCAGTGTCTACTAATTCTCTGAGGCAAACTGAAAGCCCATGAGAGATGACAAGGTCAAGTGTGTGCCCATACTCATGTGTTGGTGCATTAACAGATTGAGTGAGATCAAAGAAGACTAAAAGGCCTTTCGATTCATTGGCCAGTTGATTTGCTGCACAACAAACATGAATATTAAAGTCTCCACAAATCAGCAGCTTATCAAATTTTGGGAGAAACTCAGACAAAAACTCTGAGAACTTTTGAAGAAAGTCCTTATTAGATCTGGGTGGGAGATAAACTGTGGCACACAGCACAGGGCAGGTAAGGTTGATCACAAACAGCTGCAGTTTGAAACTGGAGTAATTTTTGGTGGTTATCGTCCGGCATCTGAAGCTCTCCTTAAATATAGCAGCCAGGCCGCCCCCGCGACCGGCAGCTTGCAGGGTGCTGACGTAGGAACAGCCGGGGGGGAGGAGCTCTGAGATGGCGCTGTTTTCACCTGGTTTTACCCAGGTCTCTGTCAACAGAAGGAAATCGAGATCATGGTTGTAAAAATGTCTCTCAAGATAAACATCTTATTTGTAAGAGATCTAACATTTATAAGGGCCGTGTGAACTCAGCATCGGTCGGTCTGGCGAGAGAAGCAGTTGAGCGAGCAGAGATTTCCCGGCACACAGCCCCGCTGGGAGATCCGCACTGGCCGACAGCATGGGAGCAGCACTCCGGTGTCCCAAAGGACCTGTCGGAGCCACCGATATCTGTACTCCGTTGGAACTCCGTAGATCGTAGCCACTGTAATCTGTGAATGGTCTGGATGGAAGACGACAGGGATCATGGAGGGAGGCAGCCAGGAACATTTTCAGTTTAGTCAGGACTCCCTCTCGCTTTCCGCGTTTTCTGCAGCGACCGTTGTGAGGTAACCAGCAGGAAGGACGCCACAGATGCGTCGGTATAGACTCCAGGTAATGCAGAAGCCTCTTTGAGTGTCCAGCAAAGCCGCAAATTGGAGGTTTTTCCAAAGATTCAAAAATATTAAGAAGTGTCAGGCCATCATATACCAGCAGCGGTGACACACTACGCACAACAAACAGCAGATAGAGGAAAAACATTAACACTCTCAGCAGAGGAAGATGGCCAGACAAACACAGGGGCGCCATCTTGGCAATTAAATAAGTGGGTTTAAGCCGCATACCCGCGTATACCTATATCATGGACATGGACTATATCATTGTGTAGCACTTCATTGATGCTTACATCTCTCCTCTAGCTCTTTAGCTGTACTACCAGTTTCCTCCTGTAGTTCAAGGACTTGCTGTTCTTTCTCTTTTGCAGTCATATCAGACAAAATAGCATCTAACCTGTTTTCATTTCATTCAAACAGGTTTCTGAGTCGATCAGAAAGATTGCTCAACTCCTCCAATAATAAACTCATTTCTCTTATCAGTAAATTAGCTTGATGAGTAAAGTTGCTCTTAGAGACTCTCCGCTCCTTAAGTCCGCCATTGTTAATCCCCTGGCGACTTGATTTGTCCAAACAGTCACTACGCAGGGCACACCGCTGGCTGCTTCACCGCACTTCAGCCAATGGTTTGCATAGATATGCTATGTAGATCCACTGCTCTTGCCATGGACATCATGTAGAGCTGTATCCAACCAAATAAAGTGTTGCATCTTTTCACTGCAGCTGGAATAAATATTCCTGAAAAAGAGGCAAAAAAGTTTTTCACATTTCATTTAGTTGCTCAGGAAAAATTTTTTTTTTAACTAAAACACAATATTTATTCTATATATTGAAATATATATAAATTCGTTGTTTTTTTCTGAAATAGTACTGTTTGTGATCTCTAACAATGTTGGTTCAGTATTTTATTAGCAGGAGCTGGGAACCAGAAACAGGAGCAAGGAATAAAAAGTAGGACTGAGAGGTAGACCGCTATAGTCTTCACTGAAACGCTCATCCATTCCTCTGGTTTAGCACCTTTACCTCACTGACTGGCTCAGAGGTTAAAGGTCAGATTTACAGAGAGTTGAGAGCTGAGTCCAGCTGCTGAGATGGACTGTCTCTGTCTGTGCGTCCTCACAGTGTCCCTGAAGGTCTCAGCTGTAGAGAAGTCAGAGGGGGAGTCCGTTCTGCTGCTATGTGAGTTTCCTACAGATGAACTGGACCAACCCACAGTGTTCTGGAGCCGCTCCGACCTCAGTCCTTCTGTGGTCCACCGGCGTTCAGCGATCGAAGATCAATTGGAAGTGGATCAACTGCAGGATCAGAACCAGCTCTTCAGAGGCAGAACCTCCATGCAACCGGATGCTTTAAAAACTGGAGATCTGAGCCTGAATCTGACCAACCTGCAGGTTTCTGACTCTGGAACCTACACCTGCTCCATCAGAACCTCCAGAGAAGAATGGACTGTGACAGAAGGAGAACTGCTGGTTAATGGTCAGTAGCAGAAACACCTGCTGTAGATACATCTGTTCTAAAGATATATAAGCATATTGGAAACATCAGCTTCTCTCTGTTTGTATCTTCTCCAGAACCTCCTCCTGTCTGGCCATGGGTTCTGTTTGGGGTTCTGATCACTGTAGTTCTGCTGGTTGTTGGTGCAGCTGCTGTTTGGTACTACAGATGGAAAAAGAAGCACACAATAGGTATGTTGGTCACTGGATAGAGGATGAAACAGATTAGATCTGACAGAATCCTCTAGAATCATTCACAGTACATTTTAAACCATTTTGTCCATTCAATCTGTCCAAACTCCACCCCTTAAATGCCAAAATGGCCAAATGTGCTTTATTTTCTGCTAATTGTTGTAGATCAGGTCTCTGTGTTGGGCCTCCTGTTGTTTCTGTTTTCTTGGCTCCATCTTCAGTAGATCTGGAGCTGCATGTCTCACTTTACACCATAATACTGCAACATGATTGGCTGTCCAATGATGGGACGCCTCTTGATTGACTGCGGCTGGGAACAAGATGTATTGTCAGGTGTTTCTCTATGCACACATCCTGCGAGAATTAAGCTAACCCAAATTCATTCCATCAGAACCTTTGGGAAAACTTTGAACCTTGCAGTATTTCAAATATATTTTTTCTGTATGAATGGCTCTAAACTCTGTGTTTTCCTTTCTTCTGTTGTGTTTTCTTCTGAGGTTCTCTGGCCTCTACAGACTCTGGAACTGTGATGTTCTGCTTTCTTCTCAGTGCTTCAGTCTGAGAAAGTGGAGATCAGAGATGGGGTGAAGTCTGTCCTGCTGCCCCTAAAAGCCAACAGAACCTTTCCCCAGGATGTCATAGTGGAATGGACCCGTTCTGACCAGAACATCAGAGTCCACGTGTTTGAGAACGGCCAGACCCAGCCTGAGAAACAAGAGAACATCTATGAAGGCAGAACAAAGATGAGAGCAGAACCTCTGACTACAGGAGACCTCAGTCTGACTCTAAAAAGCCCCCAGCTGGAGGACAACGGGGTCTATAAATGTGTCGTCTACAGAGGAGGAGACCTGCTGCTGAAGAAAACGGTGACCCTGAAGGTCAAAGGTCAGTCTGACAGTTAAAAGATTATCCAGGTGTCCTTGCTCTGGCTTTATATCTGCTTCAAATCTGGTTTGAATCTGTTTCCATTCCTGACAGAGAGCCTGATGGAGGAGGTGGAGGTATCAAAAGGAGAAGACGTTGTCCGGCTGCCTTTTAAAACATTAGATGACCTTCCTGAAGATGCAGAAGTTGTGTGGAGCCACTCTAACAAAACCGACAAAGTACATGAGTACCAGAACGGTCAGGACCAGTTAGAGAGACAGAACCCAGAGTACCAGGACCGGACAGCCATGAATCCTGATGCTCTGCAGACTGGAGAACCTGACCCTCACTATAAGTGATCCCAGACTGGAAGACAGCGGCATCTATATCTGTATCGTCTACAGTAGTGATGGGAAAATACTGAGACGGAAGATAGTGACACTAACTGTGAGAGGTTAGTAATGTTAACACATCACTGAGGTCAGTTAATGCAGCAGTGCCCAAAGGCATCTACTGTTTATTCCAAAAAAGGACAATTAAAAACAATCCACTGGACTTTGTTTCGAGTTTGAAGACGTTTCTCTTCCACCCAGGAAGATTTTTCAGCTCAAAATATCAGAAATAGCGTTGAGTTCCAGGTTTTATAAAGTAGCTTAACAAAGCCTGGTTTTTGTTTTGAAAATATGCAAAGAAAAAATGCAAACCGGCCAAGTTGAAGGATGTTGCAGGCAACACATGCTGCCTATGTCTGTCACTATGCTCAGTGTGGACCTCAAGGGGATGGATTAAATGCAGAGGTGAATTTCTCCCCTGTGAGATCAGTAAAGTTGAATTAATATCTGTGCAGAGCACAGGGCCAGTATGTAATTAGCCAATTCTGGTGTTTTCTGGTAAATTAAATGTCCTGCATGGCGTTGGGCAGTGAGCACAACCCTCATCTTTTGATGTCGGCCCTCATACCATCCTTATGGAGTTCTTTTCTAATTCTTTCTGCAAACACATGCACATTGGTGGTCTGCTGGAGGTCACAGTGCAGGGCTCTGGCAGTGCTCCTGCTCCTCCTTGCACCAAGGCGGAGTTAGTGGTCCTGCTACTGGGTTGCTGCTCTCTAACAGCCTCCTCTACGTCTCCACGCCTTTGTTCCTGGTAGCGCCTTCAGCTTCTGGACATTACACTGACAGATACAGCAAACCTTCTTGCCTCAGCTGGCATTGATATGCCATCCAGGATGAGCTGCACTACCTGAACCATTTGCATGGGTTGTAGAGTCTATATGGTGTTTCCACGAGTGGGAAAGATTTATTGAGTGGGTTTGCTAATTGGCTTTATTTTCCACCTGTTGTCTTTTACATTAGCACAACAGCAGCTAAAGCTAATTATTAATCTGTGTTGATTTCTAATTGGACAGTTTGTTTTCACAGAAGTTTGATTTGATTGAAGTTATATGGTGTTTTTTTTAATGATCCCTTAATTTTTTAGATTTATGTAGTTGAAGAGGTGCGTGGTAACATATCTGTGAACATATCTCAGTCATCCAGGTCATGGTCAACCTTGAAAGGTTCAGTTTAGGCAACTGGACCATGTTGTCTGTTTACCACAGAGACAACTCAGTAAAGAAGTTTACAGGAAACCCACAGACACCAACGGTATCTCTGTTTTGACTCACACCAATCACTAGAGCAATGACTAGGCATCATCACCCTGCAGACATGAGCAGAAATCATTCCCACCACCAACAGAGGATAAGAGAACAGGGACACGTCAGGACATCCCTGAAGAACTGTGGTTATCCCAGATGGGCTGTTCTGAAAACCAACAAGAAGAGGTCTGAGGGAAGAAAACAGAAGAAGGAACATCATCATTCCCTATGTTGCTGGAGTCTCTGAAAAATCAGCACCGGATTCCTGTTCACTATAAACCCAGCAACACCCTTAGACAAAAACTGGTTTGCCTCAAAGATAAGACACCCAGAAACAAGACCAACAACGTGGTTTACACCCTGCAGACCTTTACATTGGAGAGACCAGGCAACCACTACAGAGGCGCATGGCTCAACACAGGAGGGCCAACTCCTCAGGACAGGACTCAGCTGTTCACCTACAGCTGAAGGCTAAAGGACACTCGTTTGAGGAGAACAACGTCCATATTCTGGCCAAGGAAGACAGATGGTTTGAGAGAGGGGTTACTGTAATCATCTTTGTTAACCTGGAAAAACAAACAGATGAGGTGGTCTTAGACCTAACCTTTCAGGAGATTCACAGCTCACCTGCCCTCATCTGACTCACACTTCAATAAGGCATGGGACCCAAAACCACTCTGAAGAGGGAGTTAAGAACCCATCAGAACCCCCTAATGACCACGAACCCCCATGTGACCTCCTTGGCCAATCCAGTAGGAGGGATCAAAGCCATCTTTTTTTTCCCCCCTAATTCTTTCTTAAAGCTACAGTATATTAATCTCAGTGCTCCCCGCCACTAGCTAGAACTGAAGAAGCCTCATGGATGAGAGAAGAAATCTAGAAAACTTAACGTCCAGTTGACTGAACTGAATTTTTCAAGGTTGGCCAACTTTTTTTGAAAGAAACATATATTTATTTTTCTCTACAATTTAAACTTCCCAGTAGTAAAGCATACATTTTATGTAAAACATCAGAGGTCAGTAACAACTTCAGAGGTCAGAACTGGATGCCTGTAGATACACCAGATACCAGCTTCACAGAGTTAAAGTGCACTTCAATGATACACATGGTAATCTGTTGATATGACCCACGTTTCCCTCTCATTTCAGTCTATAAGGTGGAAAAGGTTTCTGTTGACGAGGGAAAGAGGTCCGTCGTTCTTCCCTTTCATGCAACACGTCGCCTCCTCTCTGAGGACATCACTGTGGAGTGGAGACTCTCAGATGTAGAAGACATTATGGTCTACAAATATCAGAGAGGCCGTCACATGCCAGCAGAGGATCAGGTTTATGGAGGCCACACAGAGATGAATGAAGATCCATTAACCACTGGAGACCTCAGTCTGACCATCAGGGACCTCCGTCTGACTGACGGTGTTTATACCTGCACCATCTATGATGAGAATGGAGAGAGGCTGCAGCAGAAGGTGGTGGTCCTCATAGTCAGAGGTGAGTGGAAGCAGCTGCTCTATCCTCAGCAGTCAGTAGGAGCAACCTTTGGTTTCTCTGGACTCCTTATGTTCTGCTTTGGTCTTCAGGTTTACAGATAGTGGAGGTAACAAAGGGGGAATCATCTGTGAAACTTCCCTTCCAAATTCAACGTTTGGAGAATAAAGACATCAGAGTGGAGTGGACCCAACCCGACTCAAAGGTCATCACCTTTGAGAACGGAGAACTTCAGGTGGCCAAAAAGAGAATCTTTCATAGAAGTAGCATAGAGATAAATAAAGATCTACTGAGTTCTGGAGACCTCAGCCTGATCCTGAAGCGTCCTGGTTATAAGGACAGTGGCCTCTACAAATGTACCGTCTACAGTGGCCAGAAGATCCAGCACCAGAAAATGGTGATGCTCAGGGTAAAAGGTAAAGATGCTTCAATCCATTGTTGTAGTTTCATGACATGATGGAAGGTCTGAGGTTCTTCAGTCTGAGATGTTCTCTGGTTTATCTGCAGAGCCTTTGGAGGGCAGCTTCATAGATAGACTCAGGTCACTGAAGAGGAGCAGGACATCGGATATTTCATCCCAAGAGTAATATGTCTCATTTTCTTTTGTTTTTATCAAATATGTACTAAATGTTCTGATCTGACTTAAGGGCTCGTTATGCTTGACGGTCAGATGACGGAAATATCCTTCAGATGAATGACGGTCAGCATGGAAAATGAAACGGCGTGACAACAACACAATATACAAGGAAAACACAGCTTTTTATGACTTTATCAAAGCCTCTTCATGCCGTCCCGGAGCAACAGTTAATTTATTTCCTGGAGTTCCGTAAAAAAGTTTAAAAAACAATTCACTGGACTAGGTTTCCAAGGTTTGAAGACATTTTGCTTCCCATCTAGGAGGGGAAGCAATAACATTATCAAGTATGGAATTTGTGTTTTCATTAAAGGCTTTATACAGTGAAAGCTTTCACAGCAATTGATAATAGCTTTTAGTATCCCATTTTCTACATGGAATATTTCTGGTTGAATGTTGGGAAGTGAAGGGGCTGAACATGAGTAGACACCAACTTTTAAGCAAAGTTGTGATCTGTAAAAGCTTCTGCTGCATGTAAACAGGACTTATTTCAGCAGCTTTTAAAACAGATCAAACTTCTCTTAGAGATGGTGTCTCAGGTCCTTTAGGTGTGATTCAGGATGAACAGAATGAGCTGAGCTCAGGTTGGCAGATAGTACTTTAGATTGAAGGCAGAGGAACCTTTACTCTGTTCTGTCCAAACAGATCAACAGGACTTTTGGTCAGTTCTATATTTCCTCTGATGGTGTTCAATATCAGAGTCCAGTTTGGGTCCACTTGGTTCTGACTCAACTTCTTCTTTTTTCAGGAACGTTCCACTGAACTCCAGCTTAAACGCTTCATTTAATCCAGCCTGAATTCTGGATTAACCCTTTGAAAGATGGATTATAATCTGTTACTGAAAGATGTTCATCTCAGACTGATTCAGAACCTGCTTGGACTGTGGACACTGAGAACGTATCAGCTTCAGTTTTAATCTGTGGTATCAGAGGTTTGTGACTGAAATAGTCACATCTAAACCCTCTAGAACAAACCAACCAACTGTTCATCCTCCTCCTATGCTTCAACCTCCAAGAGGATGGAACCAAGAACCCTCTGGCCTCAGCAGAAGACTGATCCAGGTCTTAACATACAGGAGACTTCCTCCTCAGAGCCCCTACCCAGCATGCTGACTCCAGGTCATTAGTTACGGAGAGTAAATGTCTTTAGTGGTCAGTATATTCAAAAGCCCTTTACATTCAGTCCTTCCTAAATGTCTGGATTCTCTCTGTTATATGTTTCTATAAGCAACTGGCTAGATCAAGTGGTAAGTCACCCATCATGCACACAGGAAGCCCCGGTTCATATCCCAACGGGGGGGAATGAGTTGCCAGTGTGGGTCCTTAGGCAAGACCCTTCATGCTAATGCCTGCTTTGTAAGTCACTTTGGATAAAAGCATCTGCTAAATAAATAAACACTATAAGCATTAAGTAATTTACATTAAAAATACCTTTGTCTCTACATTTACTACTAAAAATGGAAATGTTCATAGAAACCTGCATTAAGACCATTATTTATGACAAAACATGTTAACTGGGGAACATGAATACAGCTACCTTTAATCAACATATTTCACAGTTTAGTCTAGTTCAATCCAGGGCAGCAGCGTTTCAGATCAGCTTCAGTCTCTGATGGACTCTTTAGTCAAACCTATTCAGACTGTTGCAGTGATCAGTTCAACTATAGATATTTTTCTAGATCCTGCTGGACATCAGTCCTTTAATCCTGGAGATGTTCTTCAGGTGATCAAAGTCTGACTCAGTAACTGCCTTTCTGAGCCTCTAAAGGTTCAGGTCTGAGTCCATCCTGGTTTCAGCCATAATCAGTGGTTTCTGCTGCAGCAGCTGAAGCTGGGATCTAACTCTGGATCTCTGCTCCTTTGGTCCAAAGATTATTACCTCACTTTGTAGAAAATGATACAGATTGATCTGTTGTCAGCATCTAACCAGCGCTCTGATGGTTCATAGTTACCTGCTGACATTAGGATGTAAAGCTGTGTGTCGTCTGCATCGTCATGGTAACTGATCTGGTTGTTTGCTATGATCTGAGCCAATGGGAGCCTGTAGATATAAAATAGGAGGGGCCCCAGAATGGAGCCTTGAGGAACCCCACATGTGATTGTTCTGGTCTCTGATCTAAAGTTCCCCACTGACTGATAGAAGTCCCAGTCCTTCAGGGAGGATTTAAACCAGTCCAGTGCTGAACCAGAAAGACCGACAGAGTTTTCTGTTTGATGTCAACAGAATCAAAAGCTGCTCTGAGGTCCAATAATACCAACACTGTGGTTGCTATGGAAACCTGACTGGATGACCTCACAGCAGCTGGTCATTGTTAAGAAGGTATTTAACTGTTGAAATACCTTTTTCAGTAATCTCACTGATGAAGATTTTAGATGGGCCTGTAGAGAGATGCTGCAGAATTAATTTGTAAATTTTTAAATGTTTCTCTTTTTCATCAATGGTTTGATAATTGCTGTTAGAATAGAATAGAACTGAATAGAAAAGAATAGTAAATAGTAAATAAAGTGGTCACACAATGTGCACCTTAGTAAAGTGTATAAAAATAACAGATAGGAAAATAAAACAAATACAATACTTTACTGTCCAGTGTTTTTAAAATATAATACTGTATCTGGAGAATGAAAAAAAAATCAATTACAGCTGTGGACATTTAGAAACACATGTTTCTAACTTCCACGTGGGAAAATGGCAGCAACACCAGAGATATGCAAAAAAATAAACAACAGCAGCAGGTTATTTAACTGACTAAGGTAGAAACTGAGCAGAATCAGCATGAATGGAAGAACTGGTTGAGGTTGTTGGGAACAGTGGTGGTTCTAGAGTCTTCCAGCTGCTGGGAGGAAGGATCTGTGATAACGCTCCCTGGTGCATTTAGGGTGCAGCAGTCTGTCACTGAAGGAGCTGTCCAGTTCAGCACCAGCTGAACCAGCATGGGGGGGGGGAGATGTTCAGTTAGTTAGGATCCGTCTGTTTCCACCTCCTGCACTGAGTCCAGAGGGCATCCGAACAGAGGTGGCCTTCCTGATCAGCTGATCCTTCCTCTCAGCTACAGATAAGGCACTGCTCCAACAGACACTTCATAGAAGATGGCTGATGCCACAGCAGAGTCAGAGAAGGTCTTTAGGAGCCCCCCCTCAGTCTCCTCAGCAGGAAGAGTCTCTGACCTTTCTGATCCAGAGCCTCAGGGTTGGGAGTCCAGTCCAGTTTGATCTTCAGTTGAACACTGACGTACTTATCAGAGTCCACTATCTCACCGTCCCTGGATGTTCACCGGTGGCAGTGGGGTGGATCTTCTCCTGTGAAAGTCCACCACTAGCTCCTTGGTTTTCCCTGCATTAATCAGAAGGTGGTTCTACTGGAACCAGACCACCATATTATGGGACCACTGCCTGTCCTCTGAGTCGTCTCCACCTGTGATGAGGCCAACTATGGCAGAAAGGTCAGAGAACTTCTGGAGGTGGCAGCACGGGGAGTTGATGGAGAAGTCTGCAGGGTAGAGGGTGAAGAGGAACGGTGGCAGCACTGTTTCCTGTGGGACCCGCATACTGCAGACCAACCTATCGGAGACACAGCCCTGTGTCCTCACACACTGTGGACGGCCAGAAGCCATTGGGACATGTGCTGCTGGTCCACTGCTGACAGCTCCAGCTGGGCCCTTAGGAATCCTGACTGGATGGTGCTGAAAGGAGTGGAGAAATCAAAGACCATGATTCTCACAGAGCTTCCAGGTTTCTCTGGGTGAGTCAGAGCTTGGTGCAGCAGGAAGATGATGGCATCATCTGCTCCAATGCCAGGTCAGTAGGCAAACTGCAGTGGATCCAATCAAGTCCTCACCAGGCGGCATAGATGGTGGAAGGCCACCCGTTCCAGAGTCTTCATCAGGTGTGAAGTCAGCACTACCAGGCCGTAGCTGCTGAGACCCTTTGGATGTTTTGTCTTTGACACCGTTTTATTTTCCACAGCTGTGGTTCTTCTCCCAGCCTCAAGCTTCAGTTAAACATGAAGCACAAGATGCCTCACAGTTCATCTGCTAAACATCTCAGAAGCCTGGAGTTGATGCCATCTGGATCTGCAACTTTTCAAACCTTGATCTTTGGCAGCTCATTACTCGCCTGTGTTGTTAAAAGGGACTAGATGGTGGGGTTGGGAGGGGTTGGAATCTGTGGGATGGAATCCTTTGGACCAGGGTGGTTGGATGATGATTGGGAGGTGGAAGGTGTGCAGCAGTCAGTCGTTGAAGAGGTGAAGGTAACAGCAGGGGCTGAAGGAGGTGTTTTTGATTTAAATCAAATCAGACTCTAAAACAGACAAAACCTTCCTAATAAAAGCTGTGGCTAAAACATCAATACTACAGGAACAGCAGCTGAACAGTTTCTTCTAAACTTTAGCAGTATATCGGGCAGAATTAGGGCATTTTGAAACAGTTTATTTTAACTGGAGGCAGCACTGCTTTTTTTATACCTTGTATTTTCTCCATGAAGAACTTTGCAAAGTCATTGCAAGCCTTTAGAATTGAGTTCATCTGCCACATAGGCAGCTGTAATTAAACCTTTCATTAAGAAACCTCTTCACCCAGATGACTTGGTCAGTTATAGACCTATATGAGATAATATTTACCAAACATCACCATCCTCCCCACCTTCTACATCAGCACCATGGAGAGCGTTCTGACCAGCTGTGTCACTGTGTGGGTGGAGGCTGCAGCGCCCCCCAGCTGTTGTGAAATGTTGATAGAGTGAAGTTGTTTTTCTTGGGAGTAACCAGTATTCGTGTGTAAGAAGGTCTTATATATGCAGGGGTGTAAAACCACCCGGCAGAGACTCACTGACTGTTCTACTGGAAGTTACGTCTCTCCATCTGCAGACGTAAAAATAAATCCGTGTTCTTCTTTGCATCGTGTCCATGTGAGACACGGACAGTAAATGTCACCGTGTCTCACCGTGTGAGACAAATATTCTCCTTGTGGTTAATGATTAATAACTGCTGTAAATATGAACTAAGTTATTGACGTCACTGATGTTGAAGACATCTTGGATTTTAACAGCCGGTCCAAAACATCCAGCTGCAAAGGTAAGCAGTTAGTAACAGCTGGTAAATAAACAAATTGTCAGTTATGATAATTTAACTAAAGATCCTAACTTGGTTTTAACTTTAGTTTGAATGGTATATTAATCAACTAGCTATCAATATAGCTTCCAGTTCTAGTTGATGGTAACAGATTCATAATCTGCTGTTAAAACAAACACCCTTTTGCTACAGTAGTTGCCTTTTATCTCAGAAACCAGAACCTGATGAGTCCATCCCAGAGGTTCTGGATTCTGTCTACACCTCACGTCCAACACGTCCAAGGACGCATTTCCCACAATCAGTCCTGTCAGAGATCCTGCCGCAAAAAGTTCTGGACTCACCGAGCAGCAGACCAAGAGAAGAAGACTTCATGATGTCAGGACGAAGACAAAGTGTCCATCAGTGAGTCTCATCACTTCCTGTCAGAAAGCCTGAACACACCTTAGAGCTGTGAAGCTTCACTTCCTGGTGACTATTTGCTCTTTAACTCTGGTGGTTTCTACCTTCCTCAGCAGAAATAGTTTCTGCTTTTTACACTTTATGGGCTTTTATTTTACTGATTTACCTGTCTTGTAGTCAAGCAGCTCTCGTTTAATCAGATTTAGATGATTACAGATTATAATCTGATGGTAGCTGTTCCATCTGGCAGCAGGAAGTTCCTGGGTCCAGTTCCAGGTCTTTCTGCAGGGCGTTGGCTCATTCTCTCACAGCCCCCCAAAAAAACAGGTGTCCTTTTTAATTGGTTAATTAATTATGGAATTTATTAATAGAAATCAAACATTCTACATTTGATTAAACTCTGTTTTATTTAAAGTTACAAAAGACATAAAACTTCCACATTTTTTACCCTTTAGATCATGAAAACAAACCCCATAAGTAATTTGACTAGATTAGTTACTTTGAGTTACTGATTTAGTTATTTAGTTCAAATTAACTATAACTAGTTAATTAGTTCAAGTAACCTTCCAAACAGTGATGAGTTCTCAGGTCTGCAGACAGGAAAGCCTCTCCTTCCCTGCAGCTCCTCAGTTAAATGACTGTCTCTACAGTCTGCTGCTCATTCATTATCTGATCCTTCCTCAGTCTGAGTCCATCATCTTCATCAAAGTTTATGACCTTCAGTAACTTTAGATCCAGGAGATAAACAGAGACAGATAATCCTGGAGTGAAACAGGAAGAGTTTAGTCTGACTTCCTGTCATAGAGGAAGAGAAAACCCTCAGAGCTCCAGACTGAAGAGCAGGTACACCTGAACCCCAACAGGCCGGATATGTGGTCCGACTCTACAGCTGCTACCAGAAACCTGATCCCAGAGGAAAAACCGCTGCCACACCTTTCATCAGGTCCAAACCGGACATTTCTGATCCCAGAACAGACAGAGGACCGTCCACCATCAGACAGAGTCCTGACCAGAACCACTGACGGTTCAGCCCAGAATGGAGCGGAGTGGGATCCTCCTGAAACAGAACAAAGAGGAGATTCATTCAGTCTGAGATCACAGATCTATGGAACATGAACCCAACCAGAGGATGAGACACAATAGAACCAGACACAATAGATCCTTCCGATCTAAGGTCCTAGAGAAGATCTGACTAACTAAACATTCATGCCGAGGTTATTCAGATCTAGAAGGTCTAGATTATAAGCCGAACTGGATCCTGAAACAAACTTTTTTATCCTCCTGGTTTAAACTGAGCTGCAGCTGAAGATACAAGAAACCAGCATCAGTCAATAAATGAACCAGATTTGAATAAAATACAGATATAAAACAGGAACAATTAGGAAAGATTGTTTATAGAGTCAGACCTGATTTTAATGGAAATAAATAAGGTTTTGGGATCAATTTAAATAATCAATCTTTGCTCTGATCTTATATTGAGGGATGAAGCTGATCCACATATCAGCAGCATCTCCTCTGCTCTAGATCTATAGCAGTGGTTTCTAGCTTAATGGTACTGTTTTTAAATGGAGCGGTCCTTCTAGAAGCTACACCATGTAAAACTTTAAAGACCAATCAGTCAGATACAGGCAGCCAGTGCAGGGAAGCCTTTTCTGGCTTAATGTTCACACTTCCTGGTTCCAGTGAGGAGTCGAACTGCAGTGGTTTGAATCATTCTGAGACGCTGCAGAGAAGATTGATCTATGCTTTATAGAATGAGTTGAAGTCATCTAAGCAAATGAACATGGATCAGTTTCTCCAAATCTTTAGTGCAGAAGAATGATTTCAGTTTAGAAGTAGCCAATGAAAGCTCAGCTGTTTATTCAGATTGGAGGATCCATCACTCACCTTCTGGCTCCCCCTATGATGGGGATGAAGTCTGGAGGAGAACTGACGGTTTCCTCCTGTGAACCCCCTTTATACCAAAACGCTGCCAATACGCCATTATACAGTAGCTGGAAGTTAGAAACACGTTCAGCGCTCGTCTGGAACACATCAGATACGCTGATATGTTGGAGAGAAGTTCTGGATAAGTTACGCAGAAGTTTAGGATGAACTGGACGCCACGACTGATGAGGAACTGATGCTGAACGGATGTCGACCATCAGATAACTGACCTGGAACTGATGGACCACGGATGGCAGACGCTGGGATACGGCGGGAGATTTTAGCATGCTCATAATTTCTCAAGGTACTCGCCGTATGTCGATGTACTTCAGCGTGCTCATAATACAAATCGTAGCCATAACTTAACCAACGTACGCCAGTTTTTTTGCCAGATTTTTCGAACGTCAGGCTGGTCTAAATCATCAAGGTGTGACACCTGTGCCTCATACAAGTTGCTATGGAAACAGGATCAATCCACATTAATAAGCCATGGACTGACATATGTTTCAAGCACTACATTGTAATGCACTACTGTAATGTTCACCTGACATGTCAACTGACTCTTTGTAACAACTGTTTACATGCATCTTGCACAATTCACCTTGACTGAATATTGATTCAGTCACATTTACATCTGCAATATCCGTACTTTATCTGTAATATGCAATTACCTTCCACTGCACTTAAATTCAGATAGCTTCTGTCCAAACTTTATTTATTCATTTTATAATAAAACCCATCTGTATATATGTTATTGTACATTACTGTAAAAACCCTTGCTATAGTAATATCCATCTGTATATTATATTTGGTACATATCCAGCTGTAAATTTAGTTCATAACACTAGTTATCTATATACTATATTCATCTATTAGTAAGATTCTGTTTATAATAGTATTCATCTCTATACTTACCCGGTAGAAATACCCATGTCCTGTATCTATAGAACCATTATCTAGCCTGCACTTGCTGCTATTGCACTTCTGGTTAGACCTAAACTGCATTTCATTGCCCTGTACCCGTACCTGTGTAAGGACTATAAAGTTGAATCTAATCTAATCTATTTAGTGTTTGCCAAACATCAGAATCAGATAGTTGTAGTCTGGATTCCATAAAAATGAAAAGCAATCCACTGGACTGTACAGAAGAGTGGAGGACCTCGTCTATTCATCCAGGCCAACAATTCCCTTTAACAACCGACCTTTCAGAGACATAGACAGATATGGGGCATTGCAGGCTAACAAAGAAGCCAAACGACCCCCATTCCAAAGGGATGGACCTGTTTTAATTAGCATGTTTTCTAAGCAAAAAAACCAGGCTTTGTTGGGCTGCTGGATAAAACCTAATGCAGGCTCATCTAAGGGCTGGACGGTCCACTGGCCCTCCTCACTACGTGTTTGGGACGGCCCTTAATGTGGGAATGCACAGACAGAGGGACAGAATTTAGGGCCCAGTTTGGGATTCAGCCTCATAAAAACTAATTATGATTTTTTTTCTTTAAATATGTCATGAAATAAAAAAATTGAAAGTTACAATTTATATGCTAGAATTGATACTTAAGAATCTTACATTTTGGAAAAAGTCATTTATTTTGAATGTATGTTTATTTCTATTACAAACATTCAGAAATTGTGAAAAGGTAAAGCAGTTAGAATTTTTTTTATTTTTGAATCAATATATCTCACTGAAGTTAAATAAAATTCAGACATTTTGAAAAGTTTTTCTCAATAAATCTTTATTTCTACACTATTAAATCTTATTTGACATTAATTTCAACCTAACTTATGGACTCCATCTTCAGCATCTTTTTTTAGCGTGTTTCAGAGAAGCCTTTGGCTGCAGACTGAGGAGGTAATTCAGTCATTAAATACACGATTAGAAGCATCTAAAATATGCAGACAGACCTCCAGGTCCAAACCCTGCTCTACATTATGTTATTTATTTTTTTTAAACAGTGCTTCATCATTAGAGTATGAACCAGTGTTTGAATGACCTTCAACCTTTCAGATCACCAGCAAAGAGTTGAATGTGAAACCAGTTCTGATCAGACGGTTTATCAAAGTAACTGAAGAGACAGAAAGGAAGATCTTACTCTGGTGAAGGAGAGTTCTGGTTTCTTCTCTGCTTCAGTGAATCTGCTTCTGTAGAATTGATCCCTGCAGAGGAAAAGGAAAGGAGATCATTTTATTTAAAGCTCATATGAGCTCATTGTAAGTTAGAAGACATTAAAGCTTAATTTCATTCAACGATCTGTTAAAGTCAGAGCAACACAACATCCGAGCAGAAACAGACTCAACCATTGGTTGTTTAATAGAAACCATTTATTATTTAATATTAATCCCACTCATTTAATTTAGTCAGTTATTTCTTTGCACATAGAATGCGGAACGTTGCAGTAATTAGTGGATCAAAGTTCGACTTGGCAGCATCCCTTTGACCTGAACTAGAGGAATTATCCAGGTGTACTTTCTATGGAAAAAGAAAACAGAAAAACTACAGAGGCCACATACATCCAATAATAGGCAAGTAGAAGGAGAACATAGCAGTTAGGAAAAGAGAAAACCATGTCCTCCAGCAGCCAAACCCTATAACTACATAGCTAGCTAAAAAGAAAATCTAGTTTTCAGAAACATATTTTATCAGAGATCTTCTAGGGTATATTGTGGACTAATGAGTGGCTCAAACTCATACAGACAACCATATACAGGTGACACGTGTACTGGTTTACATCTGACCCATTTGGACCTTCCTCTGCTGTATCCATGGAGAGTTGTGGACTGGATCTTCTTAAAACCAGTCCAGTTCTACTTTCTCTGGTAGAGTTTGGAGTTAGAAGAGTTGGAGGGATGCTAACTGGATATGGGCCTCAACCCATGATGGCATTTATATTCTTGATCCCACCCACTACTATGCTAGAATCACCCAGTGAAATATGAGCCAGTTGATCAATCAGACCATCTCTATTGGACGTTATCTTCAGGGTCTGTAATAGAGAATTTTTTTCTATCTTCCAATGGAATTTTTTATGTCCTGTAGCTTACTTAATTTTCTGTTTAGGCAATTTTAATTCCTGTTTGTCTAAAGATTATAGTAAATGTCTGGGAAGCACCTTCTAAAATCTACTTTTCTGAGTTAGATAAACAAGATCAAAGCTGCCAAGGATGACTAAATAACGACCAAAACTTCTGATGCCTGAATGCAAAGGTCAGCAGAATAGAGGTTCCTGCAGCAGCGAGCAGAAAATTCCTGGACGATGGAAGCTAATGCCTGTTTACCAGTTAGCTACACAGCGCTGTAAAGGCTATTTGCTTCCCGTTTCCCAGCTGTGAGGTTCATTCTACTGAAGGAAAAATATTTTTTACACCATTATTCCTTTATCCAGGGGAAAAGAATTAAGGCCCTATGTACCTAAAACAGGCCGACAAGTTTAGTTTGCAAAGACTTTCTAATTTATCAATGATTAGAAACCGTCAGTCCAACCAAAGGACGTCGAGAACCAAAGGAAGGAATCCCATAAACCTGTGCTGTTAGAGGATGATTTTTTGGACTACATTAAAAAAAAGAAATCTGCCACACCAGACAACCCAGAGGTAACAGTTGGTTAGAGCTGGATTGTCATAAATGGGATGATGATGCACAGAAAAAATAAGCTGAACCAGTCCTGCACGGATCAGAACCTTGCTTAAACCATGTCTAGTTTAAAATAGATTAATAAACATAAATAACTAGTAATAACCAACATTTTTGTGTTGTTTGCTCCTGCTGAGGAGAGAGCAGCTGTTTTCACTGACCTCTGACTATGAGGACCACCACCTTCTGCTGCAGTATATCTTCATTCTTATCAATGATGGAACATATATAAACACCGTCAGCCAGAGAGAAGTCCTTGATGGTCAGACTGAGGTCTCCAGTTAATGGATCTTCATTCATCTCAGTGTGGCCTCCATAAACCTGATCCTCTGTTGGTGAATGACAGCCTCCCTTATATTTGTAGAGGACGGTGTCCTCTAAGCCTGTGAGTCTCCACTCCACAGTGATGTCCTCAGAGAGGAGGCGACGTGTTACATGAAAGGGAAGAACGACGGACCTGTTTTCCTTGTTTACAGAAACCTTTTCGATGTTGTAGACTGAAATCAGAGGAGAATATTAGTCATTTTCTAGTAGTTTTCGTAACCCAAAATGTTAAAACAGATGAACGATGTAATAATTTCATAGTATTTAATCAAATAGCCTCTGCCATTCAGAGGATTCATGCGCCACTCAGTGACTGAGGGAGAAAACAGGAGTGATGGGTGCCCCCTCCCTCTGACGTCACCATGGAGATGGGTTTTTAGCAGCTGCTCCTCAGAGATCTGCTGTGGAACCTCTGAATGTAGGATATTAGTGTTAAAAATAAGCCTGTTCGGTTGCTAATAACTCAGAACCGCCTGGTTTGTCCTCCTGCATGATTTTAATGAAAAATTACATGAAATCAATATGACGTCATCAACACTTCAACATTGCTAACCTCTCACAGTGAGCGTCACTGTCTTTCGTCTCAGTATTTTCCCATCATCGTTGTAGACGGTACAGATGTAGATGCCGTTGTCTTCCGGGCTGGGATCGTTTAGAGTGAGGGTGAGGTCTTTAATCCGCACAGCGTCAGGATTCATGGCTGTCCGGTCCTGGTAGTCTGGGTCCTGTGTCTCTAACTGGTTCTGACCGTCCTGGTACTCATGTACAGTATTGGGTTTATCAGTGCGGCTCCAAACCACTTTGGCATTTTGGGGCAGGTCGTCTAGTGTCTTAAAAGGCAGATGGACAAAATCTTCTCCCTCATTTACCTCTGCCTCCTCCATCAGGCTCTCTGTCAGGAATAGAATCAGAGATCCATTTCAAGCTAGACATAAAACAGCTCTAACGATACAGAATCCTCATTATGACCCAAAGCTGTTCTATTCGTTCTACATCAGTCATAGAAGTAAATGCATAGAATAAGCCACAGGTATAAACCCAGTAAAATCATATTTACCCAAGGATGAATCAACAGGTGAGGTGTTTCCTATGACAAACTGTTGCCCTTCACTTTAAACCAACCACGCAGCAGCCTATTAAGTCATCACATTCCCACCCATAAAGAGAGTGACCCCTCCACAAATGATGACTGGACCATAATTCTCCAAAACAATACCAAAAACTACCCACATTTAGGAGTTAACTCAACAACCGAACCGCTCCCAATGAAAGCATTTTCAGCCACCCTGGAATCGGAGAAGCAAATCACATAGCAGTGTTAATTTCATCAGCTTTTTTAAATGTAGTCTTAGTCACAATGAAAAAAATCTATTTTAGTCTTAGTCATTGCCTTCCCGATTTAGTTTTAGTCTTAGTCTAAATGAAGAAAATAAATTTTAGTCTTTGTCAAATTTTAGTCATTTTTAATTCATTTTAGTCAACACTGTAAATAATAGAACTTCTGATTGAAAGAAATAATGTCTCATCATCGGTATTTGCTCCGTGATCAGAGGAAAGGTTACTTGGCGCCGACCAGTGGTGAAAATTGGAAGTTCAGTTTAATATAATCCAGTCTGTGAATAGATCCGTCTGAAATGAATGAAAATAGTTGTTTTAATGGTTATAGAGTCAGATATGTGGCGGTAATGTTTG